ATAATCATATTGACAGTATGCCGCCAATACACTTTTTATTAACATTCATTGAGCTACCTGTAGTTTACTTCATGCTCCAATCAAATCTGACCTTTGCTACATATTTTATATATTTGACAATTTGTATTTAATTACTATAACAGCATAAAATTGTTAAAAGAGAACAAAGTTTTTCATACATTTAGCCTCTTCATATTTAACTTTAAAATGTACAACTTTTTCTCACAGGGGGGCATGCCCCCGGACCCCCCTAGGCAGTACGGTGTCCCCCCACAACAGTCTCATAAAATCCTGTGGGAGACTCTGGCAGCTAATGCTTTGAATTGAAAATTATAAATATATATATCTTTTTCAAATAAACTATTTAATACAAGGTAGTGAAGAGTGCACTATTTCAGACTTACGTATGTACTGTAATAGATAGAATTATAACATATCTCCAGACAAAGGATTTGAACTTAAGTGGGCTGGTCTGAGCCATGAAACTCCCGGGCTGATAATGCGTCCCACTCCGGCCCTGTAGATAACTATTGATACAGATTCTTTCTGGGTGGGAATGGAACAGAACTCATGTCCAAAGTTACCTTGAGGTGCACTTCCCTTTCTGACAGAAAAGTCTCAGAGGGGAGTTAAGATTACTAATGAATGCACGAGGGAAACGTTGAAAATATGGTCAATAGTACAAAATAAATCAGGACGGTCAAACTCCACTCGTAGAGCTACTAAAATAGCAGTAAATCCATTTTGTACCCTCCACTATGGATACAGGATACAACAAGTGGACAAACAAAGGATTGATTTATATAGCACAAGTGTTTAAAGGACCAAACATGAAATCTTTTCAACAACTTAGAAAGGAGTTTAGTCTAGGAATGGGATTTGCAGAGCACCCTCTGGAATAGAGGAAGTATTAATGTCATTTACAGAAAAAGAAACAAAGAAAGGTGTTATTTCAAAAATGTATAAAGCAAAGTAACATGAATCTGAAGATAACAACATGAGGGTTAAAGAAAAATGGGAACTAGAAACAAAATTATAATAAGAGATGAACAATGGGAGGAATCATTCAAAGAGGACATAAATTAACAAACAGTCCAATGTCGAGGGAGTTTGACTGGAAAGTCAAAATGCGATACTTTAACACCCATCCATCACCTTAAAATACAGCAGAACTTCTGAGTTGTGCTGGAGGGGATGTGGACTAGTGGGGGATTTTACACACATATTCTGGGACTACCTGGAAATTGTAGACTTTTGGAAAAATGTCCAAAAAGAAAGAAGTCAGATTCAATCTAATCTTGGATCCTTCACTCTTTATGTTGGGTAAAGCTCCTGATACCAACATGGACAGAGACTTGATTTCCTTGCTTAGATTTTTGCATAGAAAACAATACCAGCATCCTGACTGAAACCACAACCTCCCAACCTAACTCAGTGGAGACACAGATTAAAACATTAAAACACAGCCAGATTACAGCTGAAAACAAACAGTTGTATGTCAAATGACCCCAGTGATGCAGGTAATGCCTGGACTCTAGTCACCACTTAATATATATTATATTTTTTAAAGTCAGGGTAACACTTTATATTAAAGTGCTTGAAACATGCATTAATAAAAGGTAATAAGTCACTTATAAGACCTTATTAGATTCTTATTAACACAAATAAGTCTCTATAGGTGTTAAGAGAGGCTTACTTAACACATTTATTATGTCTTATAAGACACTTATAGGCTCTTATTAGAATGTTTTATCTGTGTATTAAATATAAAATAAGTTCTAAAAAGAAACACCTGATAAGTATAATTTTAAAATGAAGGCGTCCCGTCAGCAGTGATAGAATAAATCCCTCAGTGTTTGTGACTCTGGCTGAGATGGAGGTGAAACATGTGAACCTGGGCTGTGGTTCACTGCTCTCTTCCTGTAACTAACTCTGAGTGACATCTGTTCATGTGTTGGTTTTTGTTCAGGCAGCTCGCTTCATTTCTCACTGTGGAGACCACTAACATAACAGGAGCAGTAATATGTGGCTGAATGAGAGTTTTTAACTCTCTTGATCTGCAGCTCCCAGCCGTTCTTTTTCACAGCTGAGAAATCATCTTGCTGTGGATGATTGTAGCTTTTATCTAAAGCTCCATTACTCTTGTCAATACCAAGAATCAGTCTGAATGTTTCTGTGTTTTTCTTGTGGTACCAGTATACGTAGTTATTGTAACACTGATGAGTGCCTCCACAGCTGAAGGAGACTTCTTCACCGACTCTCCTGGTCAATGATAAATCATCCTGAATCAGCTCGGCTGCCATGGAAACCAGCGCTGCAGAGAGAGGGTCAGACAGGTGAATGTTAGTGTGACGGTGTTTGGTAAAGGTAGAGTTTGTGGGCTCCTGATTGGCCGGAAACACTCACCTGAACACAGGCAGCACAGGGCGGCGGCTGGGAGGAGAAGCATTTTGGAGCTGCGATGTTTCCTCTGGTGAACCCGAGGAGAAGTGACGCTGTGACGCTGCAGAGGACAAACAAGGACGAGCTGAGAGATCAGACGAGGAACACGTGGTTTCTATCAGAGGCCTCAGATCTCCCATCAGCCCCTGATTCTATTCAAAGTTCTGAAAGTCTGCAGGAAGTTAAGAATCTGAATATTTATATAACTTTTTTTATTGCATAATTTGAAACTCTTTTATTTACCTCTGCAGGTGTTTTTTGTAACTTATTATATATAGATGTTTAATGTCTGTTCTTATTTCTGCTGCTGATGTAAAAGAAGGAGACAAACAGCATGTTTTTGCTCATTTCATGAATTCAGAAAATGTATTTTCAAACTTCTTCAAAAGGAATAACTCTGTTTGCACTGATGAAGTCTGTTTTCATACCTTCAACATTTCTTTAAGAGGTCTTTTTCTTCACACTTTGATGTTTCTTATGATGAAAACTTTAAAATATTAACAACAAAAGACACATCTGATATAACATGAGTCTTTAAAGTGTTACCTCAGTGTCACATCTTTAAATAAACTCCTCCTTCATGACTGTTTGTTGGATTTCAAACACGTTTTTTCAGAAGGTGGATCTCTGTGTGTCTGTGTCTAACTTAAAGGAGAAAGAGCACCACCTTATGGTCAGTTTGGGGAACTGCAAAGGTACCCTGATGATGCTGGTAGTGGTATTCAGGACAAGGGGAAACCTCTGGTGTTGAAAAATAAAGCAATCCTGCAGTTCCTCGAGGGTCTGCTTGAGGCTGGAAGTCACATACACACCCATTCAAAAGTCTGTTTTTACAGCAGAGATTAACATGTTTACAGTCTGGTTCATGTCTCTATCAGCTGTTACTGGACGGGGGAATTTTATTTATGTTTAGACATGTATTAGTGCTGTCAGCATTAACTACTTCATTGTGAGTAATCTCATGTTTGTCCCTTCAGGCTCTCCGTAGATAGTGGTCCTCAGTGTCTCCCTGTAGTCTCAGTGATGTAAAAGAAGGACACTGCTGCATCTTTGAATGTCTCATTTCACTTTAACAAACTCTCAGACAGATCAGCTGACGAGTCCAAATTCACTCAAACAAAATAATTTGTTGGCTGAACGTAATAGAAGTATGGAAACCATTTCCATCAAATTAAAATGTGTTCTTTTAGCATCAAGGAATTTTGTTAAGTCAACATAAAATAATTAGGATGGGTCAGCTGAATGTGTTTGTGTTATTGTTTTTTATTCATGATGGTTCAGGCCTATCTTATTTTAAAATGTTAATTAATGTATTCTACTAGGTGTGGACTAACGTGACTTACTTATGTTGTTTTAACTTCTTTACTCTGGTTGCGTCCGACTCCTTTTAGTCGTGTTGGTCCAACTTATTTTAACGTGGTAAAAAATGCATGCCAACAAAAGCCATCATTTAAAGCTAAACTCAAATAACCTTTTCTTTAAACCTTTCAAACAATGTATACTTTGAAAGAAATAACTTAAACAGAAGTTTAATAAAATGTTTACAGCCTGGTTGGAGTCAAAGATAAAATATCACAGACCCAACGTGATCATGTTGCAACAGATCTGTATTTGCCAAGTTATAAACAAAGAAGCTTAACAGGAAAATACAACACAGAGTTTCCTCCTTTTAAGTGACAGCAGATTGGACATTTGTGCTATATGTAAAATAAAACCAAGACAATTTGAAGATTCAGTAGATCACAGAGTACTCCATAAAAAGAAAGATGTCTTTTGTAATTGGTCCAGATAATTTTACAGACAACGCTTGAACATATCACACTAGTGGGAACAAAGGGGAGACCTCATCTAGTCCATCTGATCAAGCCTGATGTGATGAGAAAAAAGATCATACCTTGTATTGCATCATCAGTTTTTCTGGTTCTTCGTTCACGTAGACAGAAAAACCTCTAAGGATGTAAATAAGGAAGAACAGAAACAGCATTAGGAGCATTATCTTAACCAGCCATCACAGTGAGTGTCACACATCTGATACATCTTCTAACTAGCTTCACAATGAGTGATCATTAAAGCCCTCTCTCATACACACTTACACAATAAAAAGGTGATAAAAAAAAAATATTAAAAGGAAGAGAGAAATCTTTCCATCAGATGGAGTTCACTGAAAGAAGGATGGATGTTCAGGTTTTGCTGCGTTCCTCAAAGTGCAGGTTTTTTAACAAGAGACCGGGTGTGTCTCAAACAACGAAAATTAATAATAGTTGAACTTGAGCCTTCTCTTGGTGGTTAATATATTTACTTTGACCGTTACCTCAAACAAAACCACAAAAATGATGCCTTAACTATCCCTTAAATCTAAGAGAAGGCTCTCTCCATCAGGTAAAAATCTCTTCTTTGCCCCTCCCCCGTCATGAGCCTTTCCCCCCCTGATTCTCTGTAAGTACGGATGAAGGTCGTTTATAAAGACAGGATTTATCAAACAGGGTTTATCTAAAGAGATACCTTTCATCAGAGTTCCTGTTCACCTACCTTACAGGGACCATGTTCCTGTTTACTAACCTTACAGGGACCATGTTCCTGTTCACCTACCTTACAGGGACCATGTTCCTGTTTACTAACCTTACAGGGACCATGTTCCTGTTTACCTACCTTACAGGGACCATGTTCTTATTTACTGCTCGAGCATCATGGGACAGGTAAACAACATAATTCCAATCATTTTTGTGTGTTTATCCCAAGAAAAGGATGTCTCCCTCTGCTTTTCCTCTACTCCCATTATGAGCCTGGTTTTCCTTGTTTTTCTAGTTCCTTTCTCCATCAAGGATCTTCTCAGACAGGGTTTATGTAAGTTTATGTCCCCATAAATCGTCTATATCTCTTGGGGGACTCTCCACTTGTCCCTATCTCCTTTCATTGGGATTTTCTTTTAGGCCAGTATGACCCCAAAATGCACCAACCATTTCCTAACATTATGTGGACCATGGCTCACTACTCCCATTATCCTTTCTTGGGTCTTCTCAGGAGGAGTTTATTTCCCCAGAGAAAGCGCTCTCCCTTGTGGGCAGACTATCTGTACATCCCCATCTACCTGTCATTTACCTTTTTTAATATTTTTTTTGTTTATCAAGCATCTCATGTTGACCTTTGTTTGCATACCAACCTAACATGGAGAGTTTATCTAGATTTGTTTCCCAGGGAAGGATCTTTCCTTGGGGATGGCCCTCATCTTGCCTACCTCTTTAATACCATACATGTTTTCTCTGTGCTTTTACACCACAGGTCACACCTACACATTCAAACACTGATGGTAGAGGCTGCTGTGTAAAGAGTCCATCAGAATTAACCACTCCATTCATACACATGCATACGCTGTTGACGAAGCAGGGGAGCAACTTGGGTTAAGTGTCTTGCCCGAGAACACATCGGACATGTGGCTGCAGGAGCTGGGGATCGAACCCCAGACCTTCAGTTTGAGAAACCGACTCTACCAACTGATCCACTATATTGTACAATATTGACTGATTTCAGGAATAAAATCTTTATCCTTACAAATAATGGAAAGCTGAAACTTTGAGATACAAACAGTAGTGATGCAATGTGTTGCTGCTGCCACTAGAGGGCAGCAGCTTTAATCTTTACAGACAGGAGTACAGTCATGTTCACTGTATGAGCTGATAATATAGGAAACATCATAATAGTTTATCATATCACGATCATATGTATGACTTGTGGTTTTGTCCTGAAAAAAGGTTTTTCATGACAGAACAAACGTGTGTAATGTTGCCAGTTTGTTAGTTTGATCAAACTTTGTTGATTTTGATCTTTTGTTTTAAACTTTTAACTGATGTAAAGTGTCTGTAAGTACTTGAAAGCTCTTTATAAATGAAATGTATTATCATTATTTGTTATTTAACAAGCCAATGAATTAGTTAATGACCCAACAAATGAATATATACATTTTAGCTGCCGACACATTATCACTCAGGTGCGTCTCCTTTACTGAATAAATATACACAAACTGGGAGAATGTTGCCTCAAGGTGGGTCGACACTGTTGGTCTTCAGTTCATGTGAAGGGAAGGTTTTTTATGTAACAATAAAGACAAGACAATAAAATACAGAGTGTGAGAACAGTTCATCAGTGTGTGCAGCAGCAAATATGAATCTGTGGTTATTAGGGTTTAGAAAAACAGTTTACAGCAAATCAACACTTCCTCCCCTGCAGCAGGCAGGCTGTGTGGGTTTCCTGCTCTGCTGCTTCTTCTCTGTTAGCGAAGGGTTTTCAGTTTAATCACACAGCGACAGTTACGACCATCGACTCTGGTTAAAGCATCATTCCAGGAACTTCCGTTTGATTTTAGTGCTCAGAACTCTCAATATCAGCTTTCTGTCTAACTCTGTTTTATTATTTAACATCAATGCAGAGAAAAAATATATAATATATACTTGTATAAGTTAGACAATAACAAGAAAACATGAAGCTATAATATTCAAGCTTATTTAAAGCTACAAAGTTGGATTACTCATGACCAAAGACGCTGATCGTGTTTTTACATATTTATTGTGAAGCTAAATGAAATCCTTAAAAACACAGACTTTTATTTAAAAAGAAAAACAAAACACTTACAGCTCCTTTCGTACACCAAAGACACATCTTTTACTCTTTTATTTGATTTAGCTTTATATTTATGCTGGTATGTAACAGTAATTCTACACTTCTTGACAGTAGCAGTACTGCTGTTTATGTGAGTTTTATAAACAATAATGCACCAATAACACCAAGTAAAATTCCTTCTATACACGATACCATCTGATAGACGTTTGTGTTATATATGTAACATTAAGTGGGGTACACACAACAAGATAATCAAGCCGATTTCGGGCCCGATTCTCCCCTTCTGACCAAATTCAGAAAAAGCCTGATTATCTGATAGTTCCAAAGATTATCTCACCAGATGTTCCTGTAGTGTAAAGTGTGTGATTTTAAGCCCGCCGCCCCAATTTTAAATTGTCAGACATCCTGTTGTGTTGGGAGAACACAGAGGACGGCCGAGCATGGACTCTGTGAATTTTCACTTTAAACAGAATAGCCAATCGGGAAGCAAGCTGACTGAAGCCAGAAGCAAAACAAACATAACCATGGCAACGACAGAAAACACAAAGCATAAAGTTAGATGAATTTTATAAATGGAGGAGCAACTTGTTGATTTGTTGTAACGACACGAGTGTTTACACAACGTGTCTGTAAAACAAAGCGCAATCCAACTGACAAGGACAGGAGTACCAGCTAACAGCTAGCCACATTTAGCTTGACCATCATTTTTATTTACTCTTAAATCGCGTTCGACCGCGGGAGATGACGAGTTCTGAGAGTGGAGACTGTTGTTGAATGAATCTGTGAGTGTGTTAGCTGAGTCGGTCATCTCGTTGCTCTCCACACACACTATAAGAACTGAACTGGGAAATCTGTCATTACTTGTCGTCATGTGTGGGCTCTTACATTAGCCAGACCTTACTTGGTAATAAAAGTTATTCTGATTCAGTTGCTGATTGTGATTGCTGATTGATGCCCCCAAGCCCGGTGATGTACTTTTAAATAATCTGCTTGACTCATTTTCATTTTTGTTAAATGTCTGTGAACTACAGGAGTAAGAAGATAAACCATAAGATTGAGGTATTAGACTTCTTAGACAACATTTTGGACTGCTGATAAAAGCTGTAAATGGAATAAAATGATAAAGGTAGCCCACCCTGCAGTACGTTCATTTATGTACAAAAAACACAGTGTCATCAGCATAGAGCTTTACTTTTTCACAAACAAGCTTCTTTCATAAAAACTACAAAAACACTACGGCACATAACATCAGAAGACAATCAGTTAGCACATGTTCAGTGGATGGACGGTTTGTTGTTTCTGAAGATCCTCAGCAGAGAGAGTCCACAGCAGTACACCAGACTCTTCAGTATCAGCACCGTGTACAGCAGCGTCAGCAGCTTCACCTTGCACTGAGACTGAAAGGACACTGACAGATAAAAAGACATGGCTTAAGCTTTACAAATATAGAGCGTCATTTCATCCAAGGATAATTGACCACATGAAAAAGATATTCCATCAGGCCCCACTACTTCAGTTTGAAATCTTATCTTTGAGATTTGTTTGGCACAAGGAAGGAGCAGAAAAAACATTTAATACAGACAGCTGCTAAAAGTTAAGCTGCTTTGATGAACTGTCGGCGTTAATAACAGAGAAACATATGATGAATACAAATGTTTTTGGAATTTAATTTCACATGGACTTTGCTCTCAGGTTAATTTCCAACACTCACAAACCTCAGAGTCTGATGTAATGACACATTGGTTAAATTGAATCAACTCTGTCTTTCCCTGACCTAAAAAGGATTATTCACGCCTTTGTCTTTTCACATTTGTATTATGGCAATGTTCTTTTTAAGCCTGGCTCACACTGTGAGATTTTCCCCCAATTGTATAAAAGTCGGGGTGGCATGTCAGCTCACACTGTACGACTGCTTCGTTTACACGCCCGACCAGACCTTGCGATTTACGTGCTCACACTGTACGACCTGATCGTCGGGCACGGCCAGAGAGCTCACACTGTACGAGTGAAATTGGGTCGGAGCGTTGACAGTTGTTAATAAGGTTTCATTTGAAAACTCCAACGGACGGCGGTCTGTGAAAGAGAAGGAAGTGGAAGTTGTTGTAGAATATAGGAAAGTAGACACAATCGTAGATATATGGATATAAGTTTCAGAAAAGTGCTGCACTGATGATCTGTACTGAAAACCAAAAAAGAAAAAAACGCCGGGTTGCCGCTGGTCGCCATAACTACAGTCCTTGTCTCTCGTGATTATATAGTAGTCGCACACAACTTCTGCCGGACCCTTTCATGACGTAATCATCAAGATTTTAAATTCTAAGCTCCCCTTGGAGACACATACAAACTAAATCGGCCCTAATATGAAACCCTGTGGTACACTAGAGGTAATGTAAGTAGAGGGAGTAATAATGTACATTGACTGAGTTGGGTTTTTCTTAAAGGTAAGTATAAACAGACTTTGATCTTACTGTCAGTCGGCTCTCTCTCTGGAGGACTGGAGGTCGTAGGAACTGGGACCTCTGTCAAACAGAAGGAGTTAAAAATAAACGTCAGTCCTCTGCTCCATCGTCTCCACATGAAGCTGAATCACTGCTGAATGCAGACACCAACCCTTCATTACCTGTTCCTGTTTGAGCATTCACTGTGCCCCCCTGATGCTGCACTGAGCAGTGGTATTTATAGGTGCTGTTCTCTCGTGAGATCGTCAAGATGGAGGCGCTGCACCCCGACTCCCTCAGCTCCTGCTGCTTCACATCAGCAGGGTTCACATCCTCCAGAGAATCGCTCCCATTCTGTTTTTTCCAGGAGATCTGGACCAGAGGAGGAAACATGGCTGAGGCCACACACAGTAGAGAGCTCTTCTCCTCCAGCTGCGCTCTCGATGCTGCCGGGTACACGCTCACCACGGGCTGCACCACCTGCTTATCTTTGAAAGACCAACAACACACACACAATTATTCTAAAATTCTATAACTTCCACTTTGAACTTCCAACCCTATTTAATAAAAAATTGGGACCTAGTGTAAAATGTAAATTAAAACAGAATGTGATGATTTTCAAAACACTAAAACCCCTCGTTCAATAGAAAATACCACAAAGATAACTGATATATTTTATTGTTTTTTGAAAATGGATAGACCCATTTTTTACTTGACGCCAAAGTAGCATGTTTTAAAATAGTGGTCAAAAGAACTTCCCAGAGGATCAAGAACCTGTTCATAAACAGGTCGGATATGTTGAGACAGTGTTATTATCTGAGAAAAAAATGTATTCTGTAGAACAAAGTTGGTTGGTCTTCTCTGGCACAGAGACGTGATAAACACATGTATGTCTTTAAATCACTTATTGGACGTACACCATCTTATATAACATCGCTGCTGAACTGGACCAAACTCACTCTACTAATCGTCTTTTGCTTCAAGCCCTGCGGGTCTTTTATTTACTTGGAAAAATCTGCATTTAGCTTTTCTGCTCCAAAAATGTGGAAAAATTCACAACACACTCTAAATATGGAAACTCGTGTTTCTGTTGGACAAATAAAGACAATGATCTCAAACCACTTTACCACACTGCGATTGTTTCTACTGAGAATCATTCCGACCCGTCTTTGTTGTTTTATTTGTGCTCTTTTTTTTGTATCACTACATCATTATAAATGAGGGAAGCCTCAATGATCTGATGATGAAATTATATTTTCCCAATCACGCTAACCAAATAATTAAATTAAATTAAATGTGTCTTTCTAGAAAATAAATTGTGCATAACAGCAAATATAAAATTGTCATCACCGTTGTGTTTACCACCCGGCATCTATTATTTGAAACACTGTTTAGAATCTGTAGATATATGTGTGAGTAAAGACATAAATATGTGTGTCTATTAAACAAAATGTTACATGCCGTGTAGGACATTAAATAGCCTAAGTGCTGTAATATTACATGTGATATCTTTAAGGGTCTTATTTAGTAACCAGGTTCATTATTTATTCACATAAAAAGCATATGCTCCATTAAATAAAAAGCTATTTTAACAAGGTTAAATTTCGTCTTTCATCATAATTGAATCCATATTTTATCTTTGTGTTTTTGTCAAAAGCTGCTGCTGACTCACAGAGAGAATCCAAAACATATTTGTAATAATACAGTTACAGACCTTTCTTATGAAACTTGTTCATCACATGAAGAAATAATGACTTCAGATGTGACATTTAAACTTCTTTCAGGTACTATGAGTTCTCTATAAAACACGACATATAAGCCCTAAAGCAGCAGACTTTAATTTAAAAACAATGTATTGATAGATGTTTAATCTTACCTGTTACAAACAGTTTAGTTCCAGAGCCAAAGATGTACCACACAGTGAAACAGACTGATACAAAAACCCTGTCTGCTGCTGAATACAAGTTCCTGTATCAAGTTATGAGCCAGGATCATATTTCAGCTCCCTCGTGTGTTTCACATCAACATGTTTTTTTTTTTTTTATACTCCAGCAGTAATGTCTGTCATTCTACTACTTTAGTCCACATGGACTAATGGTGCATTCATATGGTGTCGGACACATCGGGAAAACAAGTTTCTGAGTTGGAAAAAGAACATGAACGCTTGCTCAAGTCGGAGCAACAACTCGGAAACTCGGGAAAGAATTAGGAGCCCGACATGACGTCAGAATCGTCGTCACATGGGGGGCAAAAGATGTTTAGTTAATGTTAAGATACTTTTTATTAATTCACTTATTGTTCATCAATGTTGTAATCGTATATAACTAGTAATGGAGACATTCCTCACATCGTCTCCGTAGCATCCACAAAGTTTGTTGTTGTTACAAAATTCAAATCTGAAAGCACGTTAACACACTGAAGTCAGGTATAAGCTAACAAAACAAAGGAACCCCTGGAGGCGATCATGTTGCTTGTTCAACTTGCTGCCAACTCGCAACTGAAATGTTGTTTACGTTGTTGTTACGTCATACCCAGTTTCAAGATCTGAGTTCCGAGGTAAATAGAACCCACCATAAACCTGGATAAAACTGAGATAGGTATGACTGGAAACCTCCAGTGTTGAAAAATTAAACCAATGTGGAAGTGCTAAATCCTGCAGTTTGTCCATTGTCCACTAGAGGCTGGCTCCAGGAACACTGGAAGTCACATACAGACCACAGCCAAAAAGAAGTTTTTACAGCAAAAACAAACACGTTTACAGCCTGGTACAAAAACCCAAAGAGGTCTGATTAGTTATTATCATCACATTCACTGTACGTGATTTTTATTATAAAGGCTCAGTTTTGATTTTATGAACGATACGTGTTATCCATATTTAAGTGCGTAGCTGACCTGATTGACAGGTGGGCACGATGTAACGGTTTGTCAAGACTCTCAAAACCCGTCTCAGCTCTCAGCCTGTCGTTAGGTTGACTGAAAGTTAGGGTGAGTCAGCATTTCCAGCATGGCGGCTGCTGCCGATGAACCTCCGGAGTCCCCTGCAAGAACAGACAGCAGACGTCACTCAGGCTTCTTCCATTAATATTTACAGTCAATGGTTAGGAACCGGTGTTACAGTTTAAATAGAAACTGTGTTCGCAGAATCCGTGTGTGGTTGTCATAGTTACAACAGATGTTGAAGACAGAAAGTCTCCTTATCGATGCCTTCTTGTTTAGTTTTTCGTCATAGATATATCTAATGAGTGTTTTTGATGTTTGTATCTTTGCTCTGCTCAATTCAGCGTCATATTGCCTCTATCACTCTCTCTACCCCTCTCTCTGCTAAACCACAAACTTTTTGCGTACAGGTTACCCCTAGCTTCAGTCCGGCTGAGGGGTCTGGAGGAAAGCTAATGACACAGTTGACCTGACCGATTGGAGCCTCGGTACCGCGACAGTTTATAGATCATACAGACTTCAGTCATTGCTCAAGCAGCGTTTCACTACAGACCAGTTAACAGTTTATTGATGCACACATTATAACATTTCATACAATTTATGAAGTGTTTATTAATGATGACCAAATGATTTATAAACCTTTAAGAGATGGTTTATAAAACATCTATAAACATTATAGAGACACATGGACCAGATATTTGTTCATGGTTTGTAAATATTTTATAAAGCGTCTATGAACATTATTTGGATGGTTATTATAAAGTTGGAACTGAAGATTATAATCCCTTACTTGTATTAAATAGTGTATTTGAAAAAGATATATATATTTATAATTTTCAATTCAAAGCATTAGCTGCCAGAGTCTCCCACAGGATTTTATGAGACTATTGTGGGGGGACACTGTACTGCCTAGGGGGGTCCAGGGGCATGCCCCCCTGTGAGAAAAATGTGTACATTTTAAAGTTAAATATGAAGAGGCTAAATGTATGAAAAACTTTGTTCTGTTTTAACAATTTTATGCTGTTAATTAAATACAAATTGTCAAAACATGAAATCCAGAGGCTCAGGTCATTGATGGAGACCCTCAGGTAGGCGGCCAGGTGCTCTCCTTTCAGCCTATTGCAAAGATTTGATTGGAGCATGAAGTAAACTACAAGTAGCTCAATGAATGTCAATAAAAAGTGTATTGGCGGCATAATGTCAATATGATTATCACTCTTCTCCTGCTCCACCCTCTTGTCCAAATTTGGATCACATCTCTAAGATTAAGATTTACTTTTTTTGATCCCACGAGGAGAAATTTCAGTTTTTACTCTCTGTAGTCATGAATGCACACAAGTGTGAAGTATATACACACATGCACAAACAGGATCCTATGGACATGCTCTAATGGAGAGATGCCAGAGTGACAGAGCTGCCCACAGGTGCTCAGCAGATGGTGGTGGTGCCTTGCCCAAGGGCACCTCAGCAGTGCTCAGGAAGTGATCTGGCACCTCTCCAGCTACCAGACCATATTTGGTCCGCACTGGGACTTGAACCGGCGACCCTCCGGTTCCCAACCCAACCCTCACAGACTGAGCTACTGACCCCTCTACAACATTCAGTGTTTTATACAAAAGTGACATTAGTGGAGGGATGCTGGAAGTCAGTTTTAGTTGGGGGTGCTGAGTGGTCATTCTACTTGATGACGTCAAACTGTTTGCTGCGCAAAAGCAGATTTTTTTAATGAATTTTAATGTACAGTATTTTAAATATTTTGAGTATTAACAGCACCTCAAATGATTTAAGAACATCTCAACAGACATCAAACCTCAAACTGAAGGTTCAGACGTGGTTTATGATCAGTTTATAGTTAATAGTTTTTAAATAAACAGAGCAGTGAGGGTGATGTGCAGACGCACAGAGGAGCAGTCAGTGAACATTGGAGCAGTTTGAAAGACGTCAGTCTGTAAACAGAGACTGCAGTCTGCCATGTAGTTGTAATCACTGGTAAACATGTAAATTGTAGAGCAGGTGATCAATTTAACTGGTAACACTTTATAATAACCATGATCTATGACTACGTCTGACAAAGTATTATCTATCTATTTATCTAAAGGGTAAATAAGGGTCAATAGATATTAATTAACCATGAGTTAATAGTTACTTACTGTTAACAAACAATGAAATGATACTTAATAATGCTTGCTAATGATTTGTAATGCTATAATTTATTTTATGTTAACAGTTTATTGATGCACCCATTATAACATTTCATACAATTTATGAAGTGTTTATTAATGATGACCAAATGATTTATAAACCTTTAAGAGATGGTTTTTAAAACATCTATAAACATTATAGAGACACATGGACCAGATATTTGTTCATGGTTTGTAAATATTTTATAACGCGTCTATTAACATTATTTGTCCCATGAGTTTAGTTTTCAACCGTTGGGGCCCTTATGAATGTGTGTCAGTGTTTGTCATACCACATGATGAGCAAGGAATGGGATTTGCAGAGCACCCTCTGAAATAGAGGAAGTATTAATGTAATTTACAGAAAAAGAAACAAAGAAGGGTGTTATTTCAAAAATGTATAAAGCAAAGTAACATGAATCTGAAGATAACAACATGAGGGTTAAAGAAAAATGGGAACTAGAAACAAAAATTATAATAAGAGATGAACAATGGGAGGAATCATTCAAAGAGGGACATAAATTAACAAACAGTCCAATGTGGAGGGAGTTTGACTGGAAAGTCAAAATGCGATACTTTAACACCCCATCCATCACCTTAAAATACAGCAGAACTTCTGAGTTGTGCTGGAGGGGATGTGGACTAGTGGGGGATTTTACACACATATTCTGGGACTACCTGAAAGTTGTAGACTTTTGGAAAAATGTCCAAAAAGAAAGAAGTTAGAGTCAATCTAATCTTGGATCCTTCACTCTTTATTTTGGGTAAAGCTCCTGATACCAACATGGACAGAGACTTGATTTCCTTGCTTAGATTTTTGCATAGAAAACAATACCAGCATCCTGACTGAAACCACAACCTCCCAACCTAACTCAGTGGAGACACAGATTAAAACATTAAAAATAAAAAATAAAAATATTAAGTGGTGACTAGAGTCCAGGCATTACCTGCATCACTGGGGCCCATTTGACATGTTTTTTTTCAGTTGTAATCTCGCTGTGTTTTGGGTAACACTTTATATTAAGGTGCTTGTAATAAGCATTATTAAAAGGTAATAAGTCACTTTTAAGACCTTATTAGATTCTTATTAACACTAATAAGTCTCTATAGGTGTTAAGAGAGAATTAACACATTTATTATGTCTTATAAGACACTTATAGGCTCTTATTAGAATGTTTTATCTGTGTATTAAATATAAAATAAGTTCTAAAAAGAAACACCTGATAAGTATAATTTTAAAATGAAGGCGTCCCGTCAGCAGTGATAGAATAAATCCCTCAGTGTTTGTGACTCTGGCTGAGATGGAGGTGAAACATGTGAACCTGGGCTGTGGTTCACTGCTCTCTTCCTGTAACTAACTCTGAGTGACATCTGTTCATGTGTTGGTTTTTGTTCAGGCAGCTCGCTTCATTTCTCACTGTGGAGACCACTACCACTAACACTAACCAAACAGGAGCAGTAATATGTGGCTGAATGAGAGTCTTTAACTCTCTTGATCTGCAGCTCCCAGCCGTTCTTTTTATTCACAGCTGAGAAATCATCTTCCTGTGTATGATTGTAGCTTTTATCTAAAGCTCCATTACTCCTGTTAATACCAAGAATCACTCTGAATGTTTCTGTGTCTTTCTTTTGGTACCAGTATGCGTCACTGTAACACTGATGAGTGCCTCCACAGCTGAAGGAGACTGCTTCACCGACTCTCCTGGTCAATGATAAATCATCCTGAATCAGCTCGGCTGCCATGGAAACCAGCGCTGCAGAGAGAGGGTCAGACAGGTGAATGTTAGTGTGACGGTGTTTGGTAAAGGTAGAGTTTGTGGGCTCCTGATTGGCCGGAAACACTCACCTGAACACAGGCAGCACAGGGCGGCGGCTGGGAGGAGAAGCATTTTGGAGCTGCGATGTTTCCTCTGGTGAACCCGAGGAGAAGTGACGCTGTGACGCTGCAGAGGACAAACAAGGACGAGCTGAGAGATCAGACGAGGAACACGTGGTTTCTATCAGAGGCCTCAGATCTCCCATCAGCCCCTGATTCTATTCAAAGTTCTGAAAGTCTGCAGGAAGTTAAGAATCTGAATATTTCTATAACTTTTTTTATTGCATAATTTGAAACTCTTTTATTTACCTCTGCAGGTGTTTTTTGTAACTTAATTATATATAGATGTTTAATGTCTGTTCTTATTTCTGCTGCTGATGTAAAAGAAGGAGACAAACAGCATGTCTTTGCTCATTTCATGAATTCAGAAAATGTATTTTCAAACTTTTTCAAAAGGAATAACTCTGTTTGCACTGATGAAATCTGTTTTCATACCTTCAACATTTCTTTAAGAGGTCTTTTTCTTCACTTTGATGTTTCTTATGATGAAAACTTTAAAATATTAACAACAAAAGACACATCTGATATAACATGAGTCTTTAAAGTGTTACCTCAGTGTCACATCTTTAAATAAACTCCTCCTTCATGACTGTTTGTTGGATTTCAAACACGTTTTTTCAGAAGGTGGATCTCTGTGTGTCTGTGTCTAACTTAAAGGAGAAAGAGCACCACCTTATGGTCAGTTTGGGGAACTGCAAAGGTACCTTGATGATGCTGGTAGTGGTATTCAGGACAAGGGGAAACCTCTGGTGTTGAAAAATAAAGCAATCCTGCAGTTCCTCGAGGGTCTGCTTGAGGCTGGAAGTCACATACACACCCATTCAAAAGTCTGTTTTTACAGCAGAGATTAACATGTTTACAGTCTGGTTCATGTCTCTATCAGCTGTTACTGGACGGGGGAATTTTATTTATGTTTAGACATGTATTAGTGCTGTCAGCATTAACTACTTCATTGTGAGTAATCTCATGTTGTTTTGTCCCTTCAGGCTCTCCGTAGATAGTGGTCCTCAGTGTCTCCCTGTAGTCTCAGTGATGTAAAAGAGGGACACTGCTGCATCTTTGAATGTCTCATTTCACTTTAACAAACTCTCAGACAGATCAGCTGACGAGTCCAAATTCACTCAAACAAAATAATTTGTTGGCTGAACGTAATAAAAGTATGGAAACCATTTCCATCAAATTAAAATGTGTTCTTTTAGCATCAAGGAATTTTGTTAAGTCAACATAAAATAATTAGGATGGGTCAGCTGAATGTGTTTGTGTTATTGTTTTTTATTCATGATGGTTCAGGCCTATCTTATTTTAAAATGTTAATTAATGTATTCTACTAGGTGTGGACTAACGTGACTTACTCAAGTTGTTTTAACTTCTTTACTCTGGTTGCACATCTGATACATCTTCTAACTAGCTTCACAATGAGTGATCATTAAAGCCCTCTCTCATACACACTTACACAATAAAAGGTGATAAAAAACAAAAATATTAAAAGGAAGAGAGAAATCTTTCCATCAGATGGAGTTCACTGAAAGAAGGATGGATGTTCAGGTTTTGCTGCGTTCCTCAAAGAGCAGGTTTTTTAACAAGAGACCGGGTGTGTCTCAAACAACAAAAATTAATAATAGCTGAACTTGAGCCTTCTCTTGGTGGTTAATATATTTACTTTGACCGTTACCTCAAACAAAACCACAAAAATGATGCCTTAACTATCCCTTAAATCTAAGAGAAGGCTCTCTCCATCAGGTAAAAATCTCTTCTTTGCCCCTCCCCCCGTCATGAGCCTTTCCCCCCCTGATTCTCTGTAAGTACGGATGAAGGTCGTTTATAAGGACAGGATTTATCAAACAAGGTTTATCCAAAGAGATACCTTTCATCAGAGTTCCTGTTTATCTACCTTACAGGGACCATGTTCCTGTTTACTAACCTTACAAGGACCATGTTCCTGTTTACCTACCTTACAAGGACCATGTTCCTGTTTACCTACCTTACAGGGACCATGTTCCTGTTTACTAACCTTACAAGGACCATGTTCCTGTTTACTAACCTTACAAGGACCATGTTCCTGTTTACTAACCTTACAAGGACCATGTTCCACTCCATTCATACACATGCATACGCTGTTGACGAAGCAGAGGGAGCAACTTGGGGTTAAGTGTTTTGCCCGAAAACACAGAAGGATATGTTGCTGAAGGAGCTGGGGATCGAACCCCAGACCTTCAGTTTGAGACAACCGACTCTACCAACTGATCCACTATATTGTACAATATTGACTGATTTCAGGACTAAAATCTTTATCCTGACAAATAATGGAAAGCTGAAACTTTGAGATACAAACAGTAGTGATGCAATGTGTTGCTGCAGCCACTAGAGGGCAGCAGCTTTAATCTTTACAGACAGGAGTACAGTCATGTTCACTGTATGAGCTGATCATATAGGAAACATCATAATAGTTTATCATATCACGATCATATGTATGACTTGTGGTTTTGTCCTGAAAAAAGGTTTTTCATGACAGAACAAACGTGTGTAATGTTGCCAGTTTGTTAGTTTGATCAAACTTTGTTGATTTTGATCTTTTTTTTAACTTTTAACTAATGTAAAGTGTCTGTAAGTACTTGAAATATCTTTATAAATGAAATGTATTATCATTATTTCTTATTTAACAAGCCAAATAATTACTTAATGATCCAACAAACGAACTTATACATTTTAGCTGCCAACACATTATCACTCAGGTGCGTCTCCTTTACTGAATAAATATACACAAACTCTGAGAATGTTGCCTCAAGGTGGGTTGACACTGTTGGTCTTCGGTTCATGTGAAGGGAAGGTTTTTTATGTAACAATACAAAAGACAATAAAGTACAGAGTGTGAGAACAGTTCATCAGTGTGTGCAGCAGCAGATATGAATCTGTGGTTATTAGGGTTTAGAAAAACAGTTTACAGCAAATCAACACTTCCTCCCCTGCAGCAGGCAGGCTGTGTGGGTTTCCTGCTCTGCTGCCTCTTCTCTGTTAGCTAAGGGTTTTCAGTTTAGTCACACAGCGACAGTTACGACCATCGACTCTGGTTAAAGCATCATTCCAGGAACTTCTCAATATCAGCTTTCTGTCTAACTCTGTTTTATTATTTAACCTGATTGCAGAGAAAAAATAAATAATATATACTTGTATGAAAAGTTAGACAAGGACAAGAAAACATGAAGCTATAATATACAAACTTATTTAAAGCTACTTATAACAAAGTCAAATTACTCATGACCAAAGACGCTGATCGTGTTTTTACATATTTATTGTGAAGCTAAATGAAATCCTTAAAAACACAGACTTTTATTTAAAAAGAAAAACAAAACACTTACAGCTCCTTTCGTACACCAAAGACACATCTTTTACTCTTTTATTTGATTTAGCTTTATATTTATGCTGGTATGTAACAGTAATTCTACACTTCTTGACAGTAGCAGTACTGCTGTTTATGTGAGTTTTATAAAAAATAATGCACCAATAACACCAAGACAAATTCCTTCTATATACGATACACTCTGATAGACGTTTGTGTTATATATGTAACATTAAGTGGGGTACACACAACAAGATAATCGGGCCGAATTCGGGGCTGATGCTCCATTTCTGACCAAATTCAGCAAAAGCCTGATTATCTGACAGTTCCAAAGATTATCTCACCAGATGTTCCTGTGGTGTAAAGTGTGTGATTTTAAGCCCGCCAACCCAATTTTAAATTGTCAGACATCCTGTTGTGTTGGGAGAACACAGAGGACGGCCAAGCATGGACTCTGTGAATTTTCACTTTAAACAGAATAGCCAATCGGGAAGCAAGCTGACTGAAGCCAGAAGCAAAACAAACATAACCATGGCAACGACAGAAAACACAAAGCATAAAGTTAGATGAATTTTATAAATGGAGGAGCAACTTGTTGATTTGTTGTAACAACATGAGTGTTTACACAACGTGTCTGTAAAACAAAGCGCAATCCAACTGACAAGGACAGGAGTACCAGCTAACAGCTAGCCACATTTAGCTTGACCATCATTTTTATTTACTCTTAAATCGCGTTTGACCGCGGGAGATGACGAGTTCTGAGAGTGGAGACTGTTGTTGAATGAATCTGTGAGTGTGTTAGCTGAGTCGGTCATCTCGTTGCTCTCCACACACACTATAAGAACTGAACTGGGAAATCTGTCATTACTTGTCGTCATGTGTGGGCTCTTACATTAGCCAGACCTTACTTGGTAATAAAAGTTATTCTGATTCAGTTGCTGATTGTGATTGCTGATTGATGCCCCCAAGCCCGGTGATGTACTTTTAAATAATCTGCTTGACTCATTTTCATTTTTGTTAAATGTCTGTGAACTACAGGAGTAAGAAGATAAACCATAAGATTGAGGTATTAGACTTCTTAGACAACATTTTGGACTGCTGATAAAAGCTGTAAATGGAATAAAATGATAAAGGTAGCCCACCCTGCAGTACGTTCATTTATGTACAAAAAACACAGTGTCATCAGCATAGAGCTTTACTTTTTCACAAACAAGCTTCTTTCATAAAAACTACAAAAACACTACGGCACATAACATCAGAAGACAATCAGTCAGCACATGTTCAGTGGATGGACGGTTTGTTGTTTCTGAAGATCCTCAGCAGAGAGAGTCCACAGCAGTACACCAGACTCTTCAGTATCAGCACCGTGTACAGCAGCGTCAGCAGCTTCACCTTGCACTGAGACTGAAAGGACACTGACAGACAAAAAGACATGGCTTAAGCTTTACAAATATAGAGAGTTTCATCATTTTATCCAGGGATAACTGACCCCATAAAAAATACATTCCTTCTGGCCCCATTACTTCAGTGTTATCTTATCTTTAAGATTTGTTTGGCACAAGGAAGGAGCAGAAAAACGTTTATTACAGATAGCTGCTAGAAGTTAAGCTGCTTTGATGAACTGTCGGCGTTAATAATACAGAAACATATGAAGAATACTAACGTTTTTGGAATTTAATTTCACATGGACTTTGCTCTCAGGTTAATTTCCAACACTCACAAACCTCAGAGTCTGATGTAATGACACATTGGTTAAATTGAATCAACTCTGTCTTTCCCTGACCTAAAAAGGATTATTCACGCCTTTGTCTTTTCACATTTGTACTATGGCAATGTTCTTTTAAAGCCTGGCTCACACTGTGAGATTTTCCCCCGATTGTATAAAAGTCAGGGTGGCATGTCAGCTCACACTGTACGACTGCTTCGTTTAGACGCCCGACCAGACCTTGCGATTTACGTGCTCACACTGTACGACCTGATCGTCGGGCACGGCCAGAGAGCTCACACTGTACGAGTGAAATTGGGTCGAGCGTTGACAATTGTTTATAAGGTTTAATTTGAAAACTCCAACGGACGGCGGTCTGTGAAAGAGAAGGAAGTGGAAGTTGTTGTAGAATATAGGAAAGTAGACACAATCGTAGATATATGGATATAAGTTTCAGAAAAGTGCTGCACTGATGATCTGTACTGAAAACAAAAGAAGAAAAAAACGTTGGGTTGCCGCTGGTCGCCATAACTACAGTCCTCCCTTGTCTCTCGTGATTATATCGTAGTCAAGCACAACTTCTGCCGGACCCTTTCATGACGTAATCATCAAGATTTTAGATTCTAAACTCCCTTGGAGGCATCTAAATACAAACTAAATCGTCCTAATATGGAACCCTGTGGCACACCAGAGGTAATGTAAGTAGGGGGAGAAGAGTAATAATGTACATTGACTGAGTTGGTTTCTTCTTAAAGGTTAGTATAAACAGATTTTGATCTAACTGTCTGTCGGCTCTCTCTCTGGAGGACTGGAGGTCGTAGGAACTGGGACCTCTGTCAAACAGAAGGAGTTAAAAATAAACATCAGTCCTCTGCTCCATCGTCTCCACATGAAGCTGAATCACTGCTGAATGCAGACACCAACCCTTCATTACCTATTTCTGTTTGAGCAGTCACTGTGCCCCCCTCATGCTGCACTGAGCAGAGGTATTTATAAGGGTTGTACTTTCTCTGAGGGATCGTCAAGATGGAGGCGCTGCACCCCGACTCCCTCAGCTCCTGCTGCTTCACATCAGCAGGGTTCACATCCTCCAGAGGATCACTCCCTTTCTGTTTTTTCCAGGAGATCTGGACCAGAGGAGGAAACATGGCTGAGGCCACACACAGTAGAGAGCTCTTCTCCTCCAGCTGGGCTCTCGATGCTGCCGGGTACAAGCGCACAACGGGCTTCACCACCTGCTCATCTGAAGACACACACACACGCTGATCACTAAACTTGTTATCACACTTTTCAGTCAATCACAAAATGTTTTTTAGACTGAGTCTCTAAAACAGTTGAGGTACAAGGGTTTTAAGGTTTTGGCCCGTGATTTAATTTTCTATTTTTGAAACTCACATAAAATAGAAAATTTTAAAAAAGAACAATCCATAAGTTTTTTTCATCAGATAACCAAATGAATGAAAAAATAATGAATCATTTCTAATTTACCTATTTCCCATTCTAGTATATTAGTCAAAACCTCACTAACCGAGATGAAGACATACCCGAGACCAAGTAAAGACCAAGCCCATAAATATCTCTCAAAGTTCACCATCTTGGGGTGCTGGTTGCACAGTGGTTAGTGTGCGCATCCCATGTACGGAGCCTATAGTATTCCAATTGGGCGCCCAGGTTTGAATCCCACCTGTGGCTCCTTTCCCGCATGTCATTCCTCACTCTCTCTCCCTGATTTCTGACTATATCCAATGTTCTATCTCTCCATTAAAGGTACAAAAAAAAGCCCAAAAATAAATATTAAAAAAAAAAAAAAAATCATCTTGTGTGTCTCTCAATTAGACCGTAACACCGGGAAGGTTGCGTCCATAACCGGGGATAAAAATCAAACTACAAATTAATTAAAGTTATTTGTTCTTTAGAAAGAGGCGTTTCCTTCTAATCACAGTAATGAAGTGGAAAAATAGCCGATCAGTGGTGGTCTTGATTTAAAATCCAGAGTCCACCCAGACTGAGATCGAGACAAGACCGACTAAAAATGCTTTCAACCCAGAGACCTTAAAAAAGTGGTCTAAAAACCAAGATGGATATTGAGTACTACAACACTGATACACAGATTAACAGTAATTTCTAATCACTCTTTTAAATATAAATGAAACATATTGGAATATTTTATTCAGTATCTTCTTTTGTTAGAGTTTTATTTTAAATCGTCCTGGAAGTGTCAAATTAACCATCATGAATAATGCTATTCTTATTTTTTTACCATTTACAGATTATTAATTACGTAGCCCAAATGTTCAAAACGGTCGGATTAGATAGAATCCAAAGAACGTGTCGATCAAAAGAACAAAACAATGAAAGAAAATCAGATGAATTCAGGTGGTCATGTTTAGATTTAATCTGCATTCATCCTCCAGTTTGTGACTTTGAATGAGGATTGAGATGACTTTGATTAAAATAATGAGGATTATTCTGCAGCAGACGACGGATTACAGGAACTCAATTTGAGAAAACTTTTAAATAGAGGAGAAAAACTATCTTTAAATAATTTTGGTTCCAGTTCTGACTCTTTCTTTCGTTTATATATTTTGCTTGTTAATTCTCTGCAGTGACAGGAGACGAAGACGACATTATGGATGAGGCAAAAACGACTGTCATGCAACTACACTTTGATTCACCTCTTTGTCAGTGATGAGTTGTTTCTGGATGTTTTTTCTCAAGATAACGAGTTAAATTCTTCACTGATTTCTTGACAAAAAAGACAGAATATCAACTTGTCATCACAGGAAATTAACTGTCATTCTCTCAAGATAAATAAGTGATAAGATAAATAAACAGAATGCCGTGTGTCCACCTAGTGCTGTCTGTGTGCTAGGGAGTGTTTGTATGAAGCGATGTGCTGCTGAGTAACTGAGAGAATCAAAATCTGTAGATCTGTAAAATGCACGATGATGCATATGCAGCGTGATTAAACCTTTTGAAGTAATTATGGATATTTTTAATGTAACAAGAGTTGCATGGCTGCAAGAACTGTTTACTGAAAATGAGAAATATACAGCATATATAAATACATATTTATATAAATATATATAAACTCTGAAGCTGCAGACATTAATGTAAAGAATTGAAGAAATGAATGATTATTCTTACCTGTGACAAACAGTTTAGTCCCAGAGCCGAAGATGTGTACTCCCACAGTGAAACAGACTGATACAAAAACCTGTCTGCTGCTGAAGGACTCCAGATTGTGAAGCAGGATCATATTTCAGCCACATGATGAGTTTCTCTGAAGTCCACATCAACATGACTTTCTCTGATGTCTTTAGACACACTAGCAGAGTTTCTCTGTGGACATCAATGTCTGTCAGTCCAATCGTTTTGTCCACTTGGGTTTGAATGTTGCACAGACATTCTTGGTACTCAGAGGATTCACCTCGTTCATTCAGATCACTGCAAAGGTGTTTCACTGTAAATGACCCAATAACAGAGAGAACAGGTGATTATAACATGTTTAACTTTCATTGTTAATGTTCAAAATCAAAAGTTTACCTTTTGTTATTTATACTTAACAGGTGAAGCAATTTAACCCAGACTTCTTCTCTCCAGCATTGTTTTCTTTCTCTCCTTTAAAGGTCACATATCCTCCTCCTCTTCAACCACTTTAAATAAGTCTCAGAGCTCCTCAAAACATGTGTGAGAAGTTTGAGCACACATTTTCTGAAAATCGGAGCAGACAAAAGTTGAGTATTTCTTTTAGTCATAAAAAATAAACACATTTTTAGTAACACCAATGTGTCTCCCTTTTTTCCTCAGTGCAGGCAAAAATATACTCATAGCAAAAACTAAAAGTAATTAACAACAAAAAGACCAAATAAAGAATTATCTTAAGGCAAATTGTTGCCCACAAAGGAAGTATTTTGTACAGGAGATAAAGAAAGTGTTTCCATGGCTTTGTTTAATCTCAGCGTTTAGCTATGCTGTGACATCATTAAAGATCGTCTTTTAAACTTGGTTCAGGAACAAAGACCACGCCTCAAACACAACCCATTTCCATTTCATACATACTTAAGCCTTCATCACTCTTATTTCTCTGACGCTGGTTTCACATCCCGCCCCAGGAACCACGAGGGTCCATACAGAGAGCAACAAAGAGACGACCCCCGACCCAGAGTCTCGACCCCTCTGGTCTCATCACATCGTTTCTACATCGGCTGACACCAGTCCATCGTCCTTCTTTCATTCACCTCCCGACCCTTACCCCCCTTCCACCCTCAAGGCCCTGACACACCAAGGAGATCGTCGTCCGTCTCTCTAGTTTTTTGTGCAGTGTGGCTCCGTCGCTACATGTCGGCCCCCACCTGCCTTTTTTCAGACGATTCCACATGTTGAATCGGTGGTCGGTGAGAGGAAGCTCTCTGATTGGTTGTTGGGTGGTTTCATTTCTCTCCAGCTCTCCTCTCAGGTTCAGGAAAGCCCCTTGAGCATGCCGCTGTTGTATCCATGCTTTCACCCATTAGTGAGCTTTCTCCTGATCTGTCTCCTCCGCCTCTTCTTTTCTTTTTCCACTGAAAGACTGACAACGCCAGCGCCATTTTCATCTTTTAAGGTGACGTGAGACGACGCCACAGGCGACCTTCGTCCCCACTAGTTCTTTGCCGTCTGCTTGGTGTGTCAGGGTCTTTACCTTCATCCATTCATCTATCCAACCCTTCATGCATAATACAACAAACTATTCTAAATCAGTAACTTTCTTGGTGTGGTCTTTGTTAGTAAAGTGTGCATAAGTATAGAGACCAGCTGCAAATCTATTTAACCTTTCTGATCTAGATTATGTTTTTAGATGGTTCTGATCTTAATGATTTTTCTCTGCATCTCATCTCATGTTCTTTCGTTTCTGTTTTCCTCCGCCTTTCTAACAATAACGATGTTATTCTAAAATGAAGGCGTCCCGTCAGCAGTGATAGAATAAATCCCTCAGTGTTTGTGACTCTGGCTGAGATGGAGGTGAAACATGTGAACCTGGGCTGTGGTTCACTGCTCTCTTCCTGTAACTAACTCTGAGTGACATCTGTTCATGTGTTGGTTTTTGTTCAGGCAGCTCGCTTCATTTCTCACTGTGGAGATCACTACCACTAACACTAAACCAACAGGAGCAGTAATATGTGGCTGAATGAAAGTCTTTAACTCTCTTGATCTGCAGCTCCCAGCCGTTCTTTTTCACAGCTGAGAAATCATCTTGCTGTGGATGATTGTAGCTTTTATCTAAAGCTCCATTACTCCTGTCAATATCAAGAATCACTCTGAATGTTTCTGTGTCTTTCTTTTGGTACCACAATACGTAGCTACTACACTGATGAGTGCCTCCACAGCTGAAGGAGACTTCTTCACCGACTCTCCTGGTCAATGATAAATCATCCTGAATCAGCTCGGCTGCCATGGAAACCAGCGCTGCAGAGAGAGGGTCAGACAGGTGAATGTTAGTGTGACGGTGTTTGGTAAAGGTAGAGTTTGTGGGCTCCTGATTGGCCGGAAACACTCACCTGAACACAGGCAGCACAGGGCGGCGGCTGGGAGGAGAAGCATTTTGGAGCTGCGATGTTTCCTCTGGTGAACCCGAGGAGAAGTGACGCTGTGACGCTGCAGAGGACAAACAAGGACGAGCTGAGAGATCAGACGAGGAACACGTGGTTTCTATCAGAGGCCTCAGATCTCCCATCAGCCCCTGATTCTATTCAAAGTTCTGAAAGTCTGCAGGAAGTTAAGAATCTGAATATTTATATAACTTTTTTTATTGCATAATTTGAAACTCTTTTATTTACCTCTGCAGGTGTTTTTTGTAACTTAATTATATATAGATGTTTAATGTCTGTTCTTATTTCTGCTGCTGATGTAAAAGAAGGAGACAAACAGCATGTCTTTGCTCATTTCATGAATTCAGAAAATGTATTTTCAAACTTCTTCAAAAGGAATAACTCTGTTTGCACTGATGAAGTCTGTTTTCATACCTTCAACATTTCTTTAAGAGGTCTTTTTCTTCACTTTGATGTTTCTTATGATGAAAACTTTAAAATATTAACAACAAAAGACACATCTGATATAACATGAGTCTTTAAAGTGTTACCTCAGTGTCACATCTTTAAATAAACTCCTCCTTCATGACTGTTTGTTGGATTTCAAACACGTTTTTTCAGAAGGTGGATCTCTGTGTGTCTGTGTCTAACTTAAAGGAGAAAGAGCACCACCTTATGGTCAGTTTGGGGAACTGCAAAGGTACCTTGATGATGCTGGTAGTGGTATTCAGGACAAGGGGAAACCTCTGGTGTTGAAAAATAAAGCAATCCTGCAGTTCCTCGAGGGTCTGCTTGAGGCTGGAAGTCACATACACACCCATTCAAAAGTCTGTTTTTACAGCAGAGATTAACATGTTTACAGTCTGGTTCATGTCTCTATCAGCTGTTACTGGACGGGGGAATTTTATTTATGTTTAGACATGTATTAGTGCTGTCAGCATTAACTACTTCATTGTGAGTAATCTCATGTTATTTTGTCCCTTCAGGCTCTCCGTAGATAGTGGTCCTCAGTGTCTCCCTGTAGTCTCAGTGATGTAAAAGAAGGACACTGCTGCATCTTTGAATGTCTCATTTCACTTTAACAAACTCTCAGACAGATCAGCTGATGAGTCCAAATTCACTCAAACAAAATAATTTGTTGGCTGAACGTAATAAAAGTATGGAAACCATTTCCATCAAATTAAAATGTGTTCTTTTAGCATCAAGGAATTTTGTTAAGTCAACATAAAATAATTAGGATGGGCCAGCTGAATGTGTTTGTGTTATTGTTTTTTATTCATGTTGGTTCAGGCCTATCTTATTTTAAAATGTTAATTAATGTATTCTACTAGGTGTGGACTAACGTGACTTACTTATGTTGTTTTAACTTCTTTACTCTGGTTGCGTCCGACTCCTTTTAGTCGTGTTGGTCCAACTTATTTTAACGTGGTAAAAAATGCATGCCAACAAAAGCCATCATTTAAAGCTAAACTCAAATAACCTTTTCTTTAAACCTTTCAAACAATGTATACTTTGAAACAAATAACTTAAACAGAAGTTTAATAAAATGTTTACAGCCTGGTTGGAGTCAAAGATAAAATATCACAGACCCAACGTGATCATGTTGCAACAGATCTGTATTTGCCAAGTTATAAACAAAGAAGCTTAACAGGAAAATACAACACAGAGTTTCCTCCTTTTAAGTGACAGCAGATTGGACATTTGTGCTATATGTAAAATAAAACCAAGACAATTTGAAGATTCAGTAGATCACAGAGTACTCCATAAAAAAGAAAGATGTCTTTTGTAATTGGTCCAGATAATTTTACAGACAACGCTTGAACATATCACACTAGTGGGAACAAAGGGGAGACCTCATCTAGTCCATCTGATCAAGCCTGATGTGATGAGAAAAAAGATCATACCTTGTATTGCATCATCAGTTTTTCTGGTTCTTCGTTCACGTAGACAGAAAAACCTCTAAGGATGTAAATAAGGAAGAACAGAAACAGCATTAGGAGCATTATCTTAACCAGCCATCACAGTGAGTGTCACACATCTGATACATCTTCTAACTAGCTTCACAATGAGTGATCATTAAAGCCCTCTCTCATACACACTTACACAATAAAAGGTGATAAAAAACAAAAATATTAAAAGGAAGAGAGAAATCTTTCCATCAGATGGAGTTCACTGAAAGAAGGATGGATGTTCAGGTTTTGCTGCGTTCCTCAAAGAGCAGGTTTTTTAACAAGAGACCGGGTGTGTCTCAAACAACGAAAATTAATAATAGTTGAACTTGAGCCTTCTCTTGGTGGTTAATATATTTACTTTGACCGTTACCTCAAACAAAACCACAAAAATGATGCCTTAACTATCCCTTAAATCTAAGAGAAGGCTCTCTCCATCAGGTAAAAATCTCTTCTTTGCCCCTCCCCCAGTCATGAGCCTTTCCCCCCCTGATTCTCTGTAAGTACGGATGAAGGTCGTTTATAAGGACAGGATTTATCAAACAGGGTTTATCCAAAGAGATACCTTTCATCAGAGTTCCTGTTCACTACCTTACAGGGACCATGTTCCTGTTTACTACCTTACAGGACATGTTCCTGTTTACTACCTTACAGGGACCATGTTCCTGTTTATACCTTACAGGGACCATGTTCCTGTTTACTAACTTACAGGGACCATGTTCCTGTTTACTAACCTTACAGGGACCATGTTCCTGTTTACTAACCTTACAGGGACCATGTTCCTGTTACCTACCTTACAGGGACCATGTTCTTATTTCTGCTCGAGCATCATGGGACAGGTAAACAACATAATTCCATCAGATTTTTTTTGTGTTTATCCCAAGAAAAGGATGTCTCCCTCTGCTTTTCCTCTACTCCCATTATGAGCCGGTTTTCCATGTTTTTCTAGTTCCTTTCTCCATCAAGGATCTTCTCAGACAGGGTTTATGTAAGTTTATGTCCCCAAAATCTCTACTCTTGGGGACTCTCCACTTGTCCCTATCTCCTTTTTCTTTAGGCAATGTGACCCAAAATGCACCAACCATTTCCTAACATTATGTGGACCATGGCTCACTACTCCCATTATCCTTTCTTGGGTCTTCTCAGGAGGAGTTTATTTCCCCAGAGAAAGCGCTCTCCCTTGTGGGCAGACTATCTGCACATCCCCATCTACCTGTCATTTACCTTTTTTAATATTTTTTTTTGTTTATCAAGCATCTCATGTTGACCTTTGTTTGCATACCAACCTAACATGGAGAGTTTATCTAGATTTGTTTCCCAGGGGAAGGATCTTTCCCTTGGGGATGGCCCTCATCTTGCCTACCTCTTTAATACCATACATGTTTTCTCTGTGCTTTTACACCACAGGTCACACCTACACATTCAAACACTGATGGTAGAGGCTGCTGTGTAAAGAGTCCATCAGAATTAACCACTCCATTCATACACATGCATACACTGTTGACGAAGCAGAGGGAGCAACTTGGGGTTAAGTGTCTTGCCCGAGAACACATCGGACATGTGGCTGCAGGAGCTGGGGATCGAACCCCAGACCTTCAGGTTGAGACAACCGACTCTACCAACTGATCCACTATATTGTACAATATTGACTGATTTCAGGAATAAAATCTTTATCCTTACAAATAATGGAAAGCTGAAACTTTGAGATACAAACAGTAGTGATGCAATGTGTTGCTGCTGCCACTAGAGGGCAGCAGCTTTAATCTTTACAGACAGGAGTACAGTCATGTTCACTGTATGAGCTGATAATATAGGAAACATCATAATAGTTTATCATATAACGATCATATGTATGACTTGTGGTTTTGTCCTGAAAAAAGGTTTTTCATGACAGAAAAATGTGTT